ATGCCCCATTTCATTAAGGGTAAAAGTGATTTTTTAACAAAATGCTTAAAAAACTACTATTCATAAGTCATTTTGAAAAATCCCCGTATTTAAATGCAGGTGTGAGGGTAATTTTTCTCAAAAAAAAAAGAAACATTAGGCCCAATTGTCCAAAGGCCTGCTGGCTGCTGCAAAGGACTGTTCTGTAGGTATGTATTGCCCCAAATCCTAATTGAATTCCGCCGATGAAATTGGCAATTGCAAACTGCAAAGCAAACCCTAAATCCTAATACCCTCTCTCATATTTCCCTCCCACAGCCATCGCCACAGCCAACTGTGGGTGAGCCTTCGCCACTACCTATTGCCTAAATTGGTAAATACTCATATAAATTCTTCTTTTCATATTGTATTTTATAGTTTTTGATGAAATTGAGTCGATGTTTTGGTCCTTGTTATATTGCATAATCCAGAAGAGAAAAGAGTAAAGGAATGGGGAAATTAGGGAAGAAAGCAAGGAAGTTTGCAAAGAAGAATCTTCAGTCTGTATTGAAAAGGAAGCGAAAAACGAAGGCTTTATTCAAAAAGAAATTCTCAAGTATTAATTCTCACTCTCTCTTTCTGCTTCTATGTGTGTTTTCCTGTGCATATTCTCATTTCATGCATCTTCTGTTATATTTGTGTTCATGATATTCACAGTTGGTGCTTTTATATGTTAGTGTTGAAAAAAAAAGTTGAATTTAGAACTCTCGTGCAAGGAAATGTATTAGCTTTAATTTCTGTTTTCCATCCTGAAGAGTGCACCAAGAGGGGATTAGATCTTTATTTATTTATTTTATCTCTCATTTTTTGCTGCAACAATTTCTGTACGCTAGCTTATAAATTTACAATAGGTTGGATGTTAGGTGCGAAGTAACTAAGTGTCATTTTTCTGAAATATGATTTGATTTCGTTTTGATATAGATATAAGAAACAAGAAAAGGCGTCTTTTTGACAAGATATTCTATTTAGACTATGGGTTTGAGCCCTATTTTTTGGGGGAATAGATTTTGTAATAGCGATTCTTCAGAGAACGTGTGATTAAAAGGCAAGGAAGAGTTTTAGGTTTACTTGTAATATTATTGTATTAGAAGAATGTGTGGTTGAAAATGATTTTGGGGGAAATGAGTTTTTAAAAAATGGGGCTCAAATAGAGGCTATATTAGGTTGCTGTATGTACTAAATATGAATAAATGGAAGTGGAGAAATCTGGGAGATTGGCAATGTGTTTTCTTTATGTTTTCGTGTTACTTTAGTAGTTGATTCTAAGTTATTTTCTTCATAAAAATGCAACTCTTTATCAATCTTTATGATCTTGTGCTTTTTTTGTTGTTGCAGAAGATGAGCAGAATGATGTTGAGGAACAAGAGGATAATGCTTCAGGGCTTTCTAATGGAAGGTAAAAAAGGTTAATTTTATGTATCTGTCTCATGCTATAAACTTTCATGACCATTTACTTTTTTGTTTTATCACTCCTAAATGTATATAGGCAGTACTGTAGAAGCTACAATGTTAATGATCAACATTAAGAAATTAGTATATTTAGGAATCACCGAAAATACCACCTCTATGATATATAAGTGCTTGCAGTCATTTTTGGTCCTTATATTGTTTATTTTGTTTAAATTTTAACTTCATAGCTTAAATGATGGTCACTTTGATGTTTAGTGATAGAGATCTCTAAAAAGCCCCTGGCATTAAATTATTCTAATGCTGTAGCATTTTATTTTTTATTCCTTCATCTGATCAGCCATATTTACATTATCTGATTGATTGATATACTTAAAGAAATTGCTGAAGTTCTATAATATTTAAAAAATACACAAGGATTGTGTAATAGCTGGTATGATGTGGATCTTAACCATATCAATGTTTTTGTCAGAATCATGGTCATAGATAACGATGAAGATGCTTCTATTGATGCTGTCTTTGCTGAGGATGACAAGGATGAGGGTGAAGATGGTTCAGATAGTGATGGTTACCTTTCAGAGGTTTTAGACTTTATCATGCTTGACTTACATTGAATTGGCAACTCCAGTTTCTATTTATTAATAATTCATTATGTATGTATTGGTATAAAATTTGGTCTCCATTCAGAAAGTTTATATATCATTTATAAATTGATTGCCAAACGGAGGCTTTCTTTGTTGTTTTGTAATTGATTGTGTAATTTATTAATCAGGACTCAAGTTCTCCATTTGTTGCAATAAATGAGACTCAGAATATTATAGAAGGTCAGGTTTCATTCTCGAATAAAATTTTATAACCCGACAGTTTCCATTTGCCATACTTTCTTTTAGCATCCTATCAATTTGTTTAATATGATAATTGTTGTTGAATCAGCATACTTACTGGATATGTTATTGTACATGCAGAAGAAAATGCCAGTAGTACCTATGTGGCACTGAATAAGAATATTCATGCAGATCTGGTCATGAAAAAGAAAAAATTGGATAGGCTAAAGAAGGTCATTTTCTCCTTTCTAATACATTTCACACACAATAAAAATATGCTCATTTGCTTCTCTCTGTTAGTTGTATTTTTCTCCATTTGACCTAGATGACAATTATCTGTTTCTTATGCCAGCTAGTTTTTATCCAATATGCATGTACAAACATGTGATGGAATACATGAGATTAAGCCCCTATTTGTCTACCATTATTCTAAAAAATTATTTGCTACAATAAGATTCTCCACCACACATTCACCCAATAAAATATTTTACAAACAAACCAATAAAGTTACTTTACTTTTCAACCACACATTCTCCAAAAAATACTATTCATTACTCTATTTTTCTCCGAATAATGGGAGACAAACACACCCTAAATGTAAACATTAACATACAAGTATCTTCACCCTCTTCTGCAGAATTCAACAATCAATGAAAAGATGTATCTGCTTCTACGCGTAGTGAAAAGATGTGTTTTTGAACGAAACAATAGTTCTTTTATTCACTAGTAAGGACATCTTTAGATTGGGTATCACGGATCTTTCTTTATGAGACACTTATAATAGAGATAAATCTGTTGCTTTTGCTAAATCAATTTTATTTTTATTTATTTATTTATTTTTTTACATCATTAGGCCTGATTCTTGTCAAAAATGCTTGGATATAGTCAACGTGTATTTGTCTAAAGAATGGAAAAGATAAAAAATTGTATATAGGTGAATATTATTTCTTTTTAGTCATCCATAAAATGTAATCCTATTTTCTTTTTAACAGATTTAATGAAGATGTTTGCTTTATTTTTTCTGTATTCACCCTATTCTATACACTGGGCTTTAGCCAATGTGCATCTCTTCACAGGTTTGTTAGAACAAGCCGGCAGGCATTGACTTATTTGGCTCACTCATTTGAACTTGACATTGTGTTGGTTTAAATAGACCTGTGTGAACTTCTCGATTATTTATGGGTTCTGTAGCTTTGCTTTGCGAAGCTATAGTACATAAGGTTTTCTATTGCGGGTTTACACATTCTCTTATCATAATGATAATGAGTTCTCTTTGAAATTGTGCTGTTGGCTATCTGCTAAATGGACATAGAACTAAAGATCGTAAATCTTAGCCTAGAGTGTGAATATAACATCGTTAGATTAAAAATATTATCAAGACGGGAACTTCAGCAATTTTATGAATCTAGACAGATTGAAATTATTTCAGTGTCAAGATCAGTTTAATATTCTGAAGCTGCATGTAATTGTAAGCTGGATTTTATAACCTTTACTTGTTATTTCATTAATTTTTGTGGGCAATTAATCAAATAGGCATGTGTGGTGGGGGCTTATAAGTAAATTACAAAACAGAGAGAGAAAAAGTATGTCCTTTGCGTTATTTGTTACCTGTGTTTAATTGGTTGTGGCTTATTGTCTTTTCTTTCCCCCTATTTAAAACCCCCAGGCATATGTATAAATATCACGAGAGCTGATGGATTATCTTTTTTGTATTTCAACTTCCTTTCTCCTTTTTTTAATCACTTTTGCCAGAACTTTCTCAAATTCATTTATGATTATTTTCTTAAAGCAACTTCATATGAAAATTCCAGGATCCAGAATTCAGCAAGTTCCTAGAAAGCTACTACGAATCAATTCAAATTATGGAGACGGTAAGATATTTATTTATTTAGTCATTTTTTTCTGAGAAGCGATTTTTCTTCATGATTTTTTTGTTGGAAGAGATGTGATGTGTATCCGGATATTTCATATGTATGGGCAGATGATAATTAGAAATGTATCTGAAAGGCTCCAATTTGACTCCCTCTATGTTCTGTATATTTAAATTTACAGATGTTTTTCACGTGAATATTTTTTTGCAAGTTTCTACATGGGTGAGAGCAGTCTGTATGGCAAGATCTTCGCAGATCGAGATATCAATATCAAAAGCCTGAGGAAGGAAAACTGTCCAAGCTTGTTCATAAGTTTGAACTAGCGAGATATGCTCAAAAATTGGAAAAAGAAATCTCATTCATCACTTAAAATAAGAGAGCTTTTACTCCACCCAGGGGTTCATTTCAAAAATTATGAACGCAAAAGTTAGGAATTGATAGTCGTTGTCTAGACATACGAGTCACAGCCTGTTGGCTAGGAAGAGGAGACTTTGATCAGACAGATTAATAATATCCTGCAGCTATATATTAAGAAAAATAAATAACCCACAGGCTCAAGTTCAAAATTTTCTTCACATATAAATCTTAATCAATTTTAGACGCACTTTGATTTTACAAATGTAATGTGTGGTCTTTTAGTGAGAACGTATTGTAGATGCATGTGCATTGTGGAATTAACACATACATGGATTACGCATCTATAATTTTTGCAAATTTTGTGCTGTCTTTCCATATGTTTAGCAATAAGTGGTCTCCTGAGCGTGATATGAACCAAATTTTTTGTAATAAAGTAATGCTCAAGTTGCTGGACGGTTTCAGTCCTTTTATATTGAAGATAAAGTAATGCTCAAGTTGCTGGACAGTTTCAGTCCTTTTATTTTGAAGATGATGTATTTGGGTAACCTATCAGCAAGGCCCATATTTTGCTATTGTATTTTCATCTGCAAGCAACTATTTTGATCTTAATGTATTCTCAATTCCTGTTTCACAGTACTCTGATGAAGATGATAGAAGGGATCCTGGGCAACAAGATGAAAATGACCCTTCCAAATCTGAGGAAAAACCCTTGACGGGTTCTATCATCCGTTCTTGGTGTAAGCTGTTCACAGAAGAGCATAACCGGTCTGCTCTCATTAGTCTGTTAAATGCTTATCGTGCAGCATGTCACTTTGGAGCAGAAACGATTGGTTACAGATTTCAGAACAGTGGGAGTTTTTGCAATATATTGATGTTCATGCTCTCTAATGCGGATGACATATTTCGAAGGCTATTCCAAATTTCGTCCTTGAATTGCAGGAAAGAGGGCATACTGGAATTGAAGAATTCTTCAAAGTGGAATGATTTAAAACCACTTGTCAAATGTTACCTAAGAAGTACGCTATTTTTGTTGAATCAGGTCACTGACTCAGAAATTTTGGCCTTCACAATGACCCGACTCAGGGCTTCTCTTCTATTCCTTGCTGCTTTTCCATCACTACTAAACCGGCTCATCAAGGTATCTAAACTGACCTTTTGTTATACTTTATGTTCCTCTGGTTAATTTGATTTCTTCACTTCTATATTTTTGGAAAAGCTTTTTCTTGGTATAGCATCATTGAAGACCCGTAACCAGTTTTACCCATCCCTCAATTCTCAAGTTTTGAATCCGGTTTGCTCAAATTGAATTGTGGGTCGTCCAGCACTCAAACAGGATAAAGATGTCTGGTTGCGCAATCCTCTCCTCATCTTTCTTAGTTTTCTGATCCACAAGGACCACAAAAGATAGTTCCTCCTATTGCCAACTACATTCTGCCCCATTTGACTGTTCCCATTGTCGGGTTCCTACAGCCCCAATTTCGCCGTGTCATCACTCACCCCCAGTAGCTCTTTGTTTTTACCATGATGACCCACGGAATACTTATCTTCGTACTTGAAAAACAAATGCTTCTTGCTTTAAGTCAATTGAAGGAGCCAGTTGATTTGGGTGGTGAATTGAAATCCGGACAATTTGGGATCCATTTTGGGGATTGAAATAGTTCAGTTGCTGAGTTCAGGTTATATCCAGAGACCTTCGTGGCAAAAATGACCTGGTCCTTCTTTGGCCTGTTTAGGAAAAGTTTTGCTCCTTAGCCTGCCAATACATTTCCTTGTTATGGCCCATTTCACATCACTCTTCTCCCTGATTTGCCATCCTGCTGCTGCCGAGGAGGTGAAATCGAAATGTTATGTGATGTCCTTTCACCTCGGTGGTTTCATACAATAATTGTCGGCGATGGCCTATTTTGGTGGGCAAAATTGACTTACCAAAATTTCCTTCAGTTTGCTCCAATTTCGTATGCGTCGGTGTTGGTCCGCCCACAGAAACTAGGTGAGGGCCTCTCCATTGAAGCTTACCTCTGTTGCCTCTAATTTCTATGGTTCAGGGGTGCAATTCAGATAAAAAATATTGCTCTGCCATGGAGACCCACTGATCAGTATTTTCTCTATGGAATTTCCTCTACGAAGTTTTCCAAAATGGTTCTATCCATGGATGACTGAATCTTTCCAGCATTAATCTCTTCAAATCTATCCCAGTTTGCACAGATTGGCACTGATCTACCCATTGAAACCATTCCTATGCATCACCATGAAACAAGCTGTAGCGACTTCCACTTGGATTCGTTGAAAAAATCTTCTCCACCTAGACAGCCACCACTGCTGAATGTCGATATTTGGAGTCGGTCTTGCAAATCCAACCCAATTGCTCGGTCTCTCCGTTCTGGTTGCAGTATCATCTGCTCAAATTGATTTAATATTGAGCCCCATCTTTCCTCCAATACTTTGCTGAAATCTGTTTCCATTTGCACCTTTTGAAACTTTTCGAAGTAATTTTATTTTTCTGTTCAAAATTTTGAAGTAGTAGAAAATATTTCGTTTGAAATTTTCCAATTTTTATTTTTTTTCCGAGTTCCTCAAATCAATGCTGTGATACCAAATGATAGGTACCAACACAGATTATGAAGCAAATGAACAAATTGTATTGCTAAGTGAAGATGAATTACAAAGTTTTATTGAACTTCCTAGAGGTTCAACTCTCTCCCCACCCTAATTTCTCATTTTGTGAATATCCCAATTATTTTCCTAAATCCCCAAAATACCCCAATAACTTAACTATTAATCTGGAGTTCCATCAGATTATTCCTCTTATCAAAGTAACATTGCCCAAAAAAAAAAAAAGGATTCAAAGACTGTCAGTTACATAATAGCTGAAGGAAATGGAAGCACATAGTGAACGATCTTCTTAATTATTAAAACTGTTGTTTCTCCACCCCTCAAACTTTTGCCGTATCTGGAGGTAGAAGGGAAATCCTGAGTTTTGTCAATCATTTGAATTAAGTCAAGCTTTTTGCATTTTTCTCTTTCAATATAGAAATAAGTTTGATGTAACGTAATTCTATAAAATTTCATGACTCATCTTAGAATCTGATTGAATTTATTCCTACTTGGAAAATGGAACACATCCAACTATTTGAATATTTGTTGGTGGATATTAGGCACTTCGATATTTATTGCATTTGGTTGACATTAAGAGCTTATTCTATAATAAAACATTGACTTGTTTTCAACAATTACCTTCTGCTTCTTGGTTCTCTTATTGGATTATGTTTTAAATATTCTTGATATTGTAAAAAACTCTTGTTGATTGTGATGGGAGATACGTGTCGACGTGGGGAGTAGATTATTTTCCTGCTGTATAATGAACATTCTGAGATTATGGAGTTGACAAAGCTGGGTTTAATATATAAAATTTGAGCAAGCTGTCCTTATTTATTTTGCCAATTTTGAACTTTATTCTTCAATATCAATCTTTCTGATGAACTTTTGAGATTTTGAACCAGGCTACTGTAAATTTATGGGCAACAGGTGCGGCAGTTCTATCATCAGCTGCCTTCCTTATCCTAAGGGATGTGGCTACAATGTTTGGTTCAAATTACTGGAACACCTGCTTATCAAAAATTTCTGTGGCCTATCTTGCTCGGAGTAGAGTATCAGAAATTGTGGATGCTAAACATTTACAGTTCCTTAGGGATTCCATAGTTGAGTTGTACTCCCTGGATGTGCAAAAATCATCTGCCAAGGTCCTTGCTTCAATAAGTCAACTTGCCAAGATATTGCAGTGGGCTTTGCAAACAAAGAAGAAGGTATAGAGTTGGTCTGATTTGAGTGCCTTTTGATTTCATGAGCATAATTAATATGCAAACTTACTTTATCACATGTTCGGGATATATGTGTATGGTGTTGCCCTTTGTATTGTTTATTTTTTCAAGTAACTGTAAGTATATTTATTTATTTGCTTATGTTGTGAGGCAGGAAGCTGTTAAAAAGTTATGCAGTTGGGAGTATGTAAACTGCATTGATCTGTGGGTGAGGTTCATATCAGCCAATATACATGATTATGACCTTCAGCCATTGATGTTTATGACCATTCAGATTATAAATGGTCTAGCTTACTTGTTTGCTGGTCCAAGATATTTCCCTCTAAGACTCAAGTGCATTCAGTGGCTTAGTTTTCTTTCCAGTTCTAGTGGATTTTTTATTCCGGTTGCTTCATTTGTGCTGGATATTTTGGAATACAAGGTGGTCAAGGAGGGTGGAAGATCACGGAATACCTTCAACACTATGTCAGTCCTGAAGGTCAGGGATACTAGCTTCCACTGTTATTTTGCCAGATGTGATTGCTTTCTTCGATGCTTTTAAATTTAGTGCACATCAGAACCTTCACTTACAATTAAACTATCATGTGCTGCAGTTGCCAAAATATTATCTAAAATCACGAAACTTCCAAGAAGAATGCCTTCTTTCAATCATTGAACAGCTTTCTCTGCACTTTGCTCAGTGGAGTTACCACATCTCTTTCCCTGAGCTAGCAGTTATTCCACTAATTTGTTTGAGAAAGTTTCATGACATTACCCTGGCTGAAAATCTGCGGCGTATGGTGAAGCGTTTTATCGATCAGGTACTAGTTATTTTTTGCTTTAGTTTGATGCAACAATCCACATTTTTGTCGAGTCATGTATGTCTCCAGAAAATAAAGTGCGGTGCAACTGATATAGTCAAAAATTATGCCAAGGGACCAAAAGAATAGCTATTTAAATCCTCAAAACTCTTAGCAAGGCTAACAAGGATTTAAATACCTCCTCAACTCGAAAAGCAATGAATTGAACCCCTTTTCCGAATAATTTTATTCTTCTCAAACAAGCAAAAAAGCTGAATATCCATTTGATGGTTTTAATTTCTCAACCGCAGGTTGTTAGTGGGTAACTTTTAAGCAAGTCAAACACAAGTTACTTATTTTGACCCCAACTGGGATGATACTGTCAAAGTATCTAATAAAATACTAAATAAGTTTGACAAGTAAAATACTTAAATACCGTTAACAATTTAACAAAATTCATGTCCTACCCTAACTCGAGTTATGCCGTACTAAAGATTATAAGATTAATTATAAAAAACTTTCTTAGTCATATAGCATTCTCCATATGCTTGCTAATAATATTAACAAGTTTGCAACTTTATTTATGAAATGACTACTTATAAAAGAAAAAGTGATATTATTTAAGCTAGACCATAGTATCTCATAATCTTCTACCGATTTTAAATCTCTCATGTTTTGAAAAATGAAGAACTATTTTCTTGCTTATCTCATATATTTTAAAGCTCAAAGAATTGTTTCCTTTCATGCAATCGAACATGACAATCATGAGGATTGTTCTTCCGATGGTATTCTTCTGCATATCAATTTCTAGTTCAAAGTTACTCCCTGCCCCACCACGTTTGGTTCTCTTTTGGTCCTTGACTTGGTGTATTTTGCACACCACCATTCCGAGTTCCTTCTGTTGTATCTGCAGGTGGAGCAGAATGTGGACTATGTACAGAGAAAAAGAGATGATGTGCCTTTTTCCCCAAATGATTACCAATCTGTAGACTCGTTTCTTCAGGTTTGTACAATTTGAAATCAACTGCCTATAGTTCTGTGAATTAAAGAATGTAATTGATCTAATTTAAATTGATGGTTTGCATGCAGCTTGAAAAGTCCAGTCCCCAAGCACCATTTACTCAATATTGCAGAGGTGTCCTGGAAAAGGCATCTCAAAGGAGTTCGCGTACATGTGGAAAGATGAGGTAAGTTACTTCTTTCCTGGGTCTAGCTTGATACCTAGAAGAATATAACTGTCCTCCTATTTCTAAGGGGGGTAATTCCAAGTGGCTTGTACTGAAATTTGCTTCAGCAACCTCCTTTGATGGCGGTTCCCATTTGGACTTATATCATTCTTTTTAGCGTTTGGGGGTGGTAGTAGGGGGGTTTTCGAGCATGCACCATGTATAGAATGATGGCTGAGGAGGGCGAGAATAATAACTGATTTAAATGGTTTCATTTCTGATTTCTCTTTTGATTTTTGGTTTAGTTTGGGTACTAGTAATTGCTTGAACGAAATGTCAAGTATAGTTGGTAAACCTTGCTTGGTCCATCTGCTTCAACTAAACCCTGTGAATAGGTGTCTGTATTTGGCGAGTTAAATTGGGTTAGAAATGCGTGCATACCAGATCAAAGCAGTCCACCTTGGAGGTTTTAATCTTGTAAGGTTTGTTTGGCAAACAACTAACCTGTTGTCTTCAAGTTCTTCTTGGACAGTACTTTATTCTCTGAAAGCGCCCTGCCTCAAGATTCAAGAGCATTATCTTGCTTAGAGGATCTCTAAGATGCTCTTTAAACATAAGATGTTTTCTATTTTAAAGAGTCACCCTCAAAATTATGCTCTAAGAGACTCTTTAAATTAACATTATAAAATAGAGAGTAAGCTTGGTTCTCAAAATTCAGAGAGTCAAACCAACTCTTTGTAATTAAATGCATTTAAAGTATTTCAATTTTTAATGGAAAAAAATAATATAATAATTTGGATGGAAGCTAGTTAAAATAAAAGCTATGAAAAAATAATAAATAATTTTTTATAGTAGTAAAATTAAGTGTAAATATAAAGAGCACGGAGTACTTAACAATTTTCTCTTTAAATTTATAAATGCTCTCTAAGTTGTAAAATATGCTATTTAAAAATAATTTCTTGGAGATGCTCTTAGGGTAGGTTTCATCTTGGAGGCACCATGGGCTGCTAAGAAGTATCGACACGCTCGTCAACACTTTTTTTGAAAAAGTTCGAACACGATATGTCGTTATTAAAATACTATTTTTTTAAATTTAATAGTCGAAAGTAATATTTTTTTTCAACATATTGTATCATATATATAAATAATTAAATAAAAAATAGGAATTAAACTTGATATTTTCATACATGTTTCTTAAGTAATAAAAAATTTGATCCACATAAAAATCTAACTTCAGCTGTTAAGAGGATAAAACTGTAAAAGAAAGTCTATCAACTATATACTAGGAAAAGATAGTTTACAGAGCATTTAATGTTCTGGGCAATTGGTCCCAACAATTTGAATTAAGAATTATATTTCAATTGGTTTTATGTCGGCCGTCACTTTCTTCTTCTCTTCCTCACTTCATTTCTTCTTTTCTTCCTCACAGTCAGCTCTCTTCCAGCCATGTTTCTGTTTTCTTCTAGCCGTGTTTCTATTTTCTTCCAGCTGTCTTTTGCTTTTGCTTACTGTTTTCCTCCAGCCATCTGCATTTCTTCGTCTCTAACATGCCACAAGGGACATCTGACACGCGTCAACGACGTGTAGGAGACGTACCAGTGTCTGACACGATAAGTAGATGCTGGCAGCGTATCAGTGCTTCCCAGATGGGCTGTTTTACCCTGCTGCCTCCTAGAATAATTTTAATGCTTTTGGTTCCAAAATTTATTTGGAAAAAAGACTTAGCACATTCACATTGTGATTGTTTTATAAAATCATTAAGTTTTTCATATTCGGTCCAATTTTATGTCTCAACTTCCTTTTGTTCATTTGTTGTCTACCACGCCTCCTGCAACTCATCTATATGATCCTTAAATTTGTTTCCACTCATCTTCTAATACTTCCGGTTATTGAAGTTAAAATGTGCCTGTTTTAGTTTCGAGATTGAGAAGAATTTACCATAGCTCAAATTTTAAATAACTGGTCTATACTCTATGGGTGTGTTTGATGGATATTATTTTGGAAGAATGTATTTTGGAATAGTAGATTGATGGAGAATGTGTGGTTGAAAAAGAAGGAAAAGTTATTGATGTGATGGAAAATATTATTTTAATGAAAAATGTGTGGTTGAAAATGAGTAGAAGAATGAGAATGAAAATTTTAATGGGTACCAAACACACCCTATATATCATTCGTAAAACGTAACATTCATTTAATGTTTCTTGTTGGATCCATATATTTTTTCATCAAAAGCATTGATCTCCTAAAAAGAATCGATTTAGTCATAAAATTATCAGAGTTTAGAACAAAGCAAAAGTTTATTGTAGGTGATTATATAATATATGTATATTACTTGTCAACTTGTATAATTGCACTCTTCTATCAAAACATTCTTTTAGAAGTCTTGTCTGGATGAAAATGAGTGTCGTGAAAATGTAGTGTCAACGAGAGGATTCATGTGACCGATCCAGAATTTATTTGGAAAAAAAAACTTAGCACATTGTCATTGTTTTATAAACTCCGGCAATAACAATATGATAAAAAGAACATATTATTTGGAAAAAAAACTTAGCACATGGTCATGCGACTGATCCAAAATTTATTTGGAAAAAAACTTGGCACATTGTCATTATTTTATAAATTCCAGCAATACATTATATTAGAAAATGTACTGTCAACAAGAGGATTCATGTGACTGATCCAAAATTTATTTGGAAAAAAAACCTTAGCACATTGTCATTGTTTTAGTCGAGGTGCGCGCGAGCTGGTCCGGACATCCACGGTTATCAAAAAATAAAAAATAAACTCCAACAACAACAATATGATAAAAGGAACATATTATTTTGCAGAACCATCAAGTTTTTCATATTCGGTCCAATTTTATGTCTCGACCTCCTTTTGTTCATTTGTTGTCCACCATACCTCCTGCAAGTGATCTCTGATCTTTAAATTTGTTTCCACTCATCTTCTAATACTTCCAGTCATCAAAGTTAAAATGTGCCCGTTTTAGTTTCGAGATTGAGAAGAATTTACCATAGCTCAAATTTTAAATAACTGGTCTATATATCATTTGTAAAAAGTGACATTCAGCAGAATCATTTATCAATGTTTCTTGTTGGATCCATATATTTTTTCATCAAAAGCATTGATCTCCTAAAAAGAATCGATTTGGTCATAAAATTATCATAGTTTAGAACAAAGCAAAAGTTTATTGCAGGTGATTATATATATATATGTACATTACTGGTCAACTTTTATGATTGCACTCTTATATCAAAACATTCTTTTAGAAGTCTTATCTGGATGAAAATGAGTGTCTTGAACTTTTTTTATTGTTTCGGATGTATCTGATCGACCTTATTCTGTTAAATATTGCTGTAGCTTGCTGGAGCCGAGAAAATCAAAGAGGAACAAAGCAGAGCATAGAAAGGGAATTGCCGCTAAGGAAAATCACCCTGCGGATGAAAATGGAATTGTTGGTTCAAAGCGGAAAAGAAAAACTGTAAAAGTACAATAATTACACTTTTTTTTTTCGATAATGTTGTGGAAGCTGGAATTTCAAATCATTATCCTTTTTTTATTTTTTTGTCAAATCGTTGACAAAATTTTGGAACTCTAATGACTGGCCATGTAATTTTAAGTTGGGACATTTAAGTAGCATAGTTAGTTATTATGTGCTATCTTTTAGGAGTCGAAAGTAACAAGGATAAATCCTGAATTGTAGGAGTTCAAATTCTGCATTATTTGTTATCAGATTCTTATTAGTTAGATTATAACAGTTTTCCTGTTAAATCTTTAAATAGTTGTACTTCTCTTACATATGAAAAACCAGCTTTCTTCCTATCATGTTAAAATGGTATCAGAAAACCTTGATTTTTGGCGTTCCTATTAAATACTCTCCTTTAGTCATGTTTGGTATTTTGAAAGAAGGATGTCCAGTGCAAGTACACAACATAATCCTAAGGCTGCGCAGCAATTCAGTCATTTGGGAGTCCTTTGCAAATCACAGTACATAAACTGAATTGAAAAAAAATTCTTCTAGGGGCAAGGAAAAATCAGGATCTCTCTGGTACTGCAACGAGGCCTGAATAGGAGGACATCGCATTTCAGATATGGGAATCTGAAAATTTGTTGGTAATGGAATGGTTTCTTAATTTCATGGGGTCAGATATAAGCAAAATTCCTTTTATGGTTTTTCATCAACAGCTAAAGAAAGTGTTTGGGGATCTTTCTCAGATTATGCAATACCTGTTGCAGCCACAGAAAGAGCCCTAGCCATTGACGATTTTGATGAAGGCAATTGAGAGTTTCTGTTGATAGGCTCTGCATTTTTAAAACCAGTGGCCTCTCATTACGGAACACAGGGCTTTGGTATATGATGTTCTAGGTCAACTAAATGATAAGTTAGTTCTGAATTTCTGTTGTTATGTTGCCCTGCAAGGTAATCTTTTCATAGCTTAAATGTTATATTCACTTATACCCCATGTTCTGCTTAGCAGATGGTTCTTTGGTTTCGATTGCTGGTAAAGGCCAACTATTTTTTTTTTTTGTTTGGATTTTGTATTCCACGTTTCAAGATTATCTTCTAATCTTGTGTTAGTATAGCTAAATTTTTCCACTGTGAATTTCAGAACTTGAAATTTGGAAAGACGAGCGGTAGTTCTAGAGAAGGGATGGGCTCTACTATTTTGAAGGTGAGCTGTGTGGATGAACAAGCCCAAGTTCTTATTAACAGTAATACTACTTAATCTAGTGCATATGAAATTCTTTTGTGGATTTTATATTAGGACATCCAAGACACCTTTTTTTTTTCTGTTAATTTTAAATAAAAATACGGCCATTTTGCAATGTGAATTAGTAAAGCTCCATAGAACTCATTTTCCACCACAGTCCTATAGAGAGTTGACACCATTTACTTTTGACCATCACTTATCCTACTTGATTGACGTGTAGACTTCTTTTTTTTTTTTTGCAGATTTTCTGATTTTAACAGTCTAAACTGGGCAATAAAATCTTACCTTCACGGCAAAAAGGAAAATGAAGTAATTATGGAAGTCGGGCAGTTATTTCATAACTGTTCAAAATCAGTTTTTCCTCAACTTTCGTCCTCATTGTGCAATTTTCTCAAATGGAAAGTTTCCTCATTTTAATTCGAAAAGTTGGGGCTATTTCTCACTTCCATCTTCTACTGCATTCTATTTGTTTCAAAGTTCTGTTTTTATAGAAATCAAATAGTTCTGAATTTCTGTTGTCATGTTATAGTCACTGAACTTTATTTCGCTTCTGAACGGTCACTGAACTTGCAAACAATCCACTCCATCCCTCACTCAGCACCCCAACCGTTTGAAGCGGGCGGACGTGGCTTGACTAGGGATGGCAACGGGACGGGTTCGGGGCGGGGCACCCCTATCTTGCCCCGTCCCGCCATTCCCCCGCTTCGCCCTGCCCCGTCTAAGATGGGGCGGTGCGGGGCGCGGGGCGGGGCGCGTTGTAGGACCGTTTCCCTGCCCCATTTATTTTTTTTATATTTTTTTTTTTGCTATAAAAAANTCTCCGCCCCGCCCCGCCCCATGACCCTAGACGGGGCGGCCCTCCTTGCCCCATCCTGCCCCGCCAACCCGCTCGGGGCTGTTTTTTTAGCCCCATTCGGGGCGGGGCACCGTCGGGACAGGGCGGGGCTGTTTTTTTTGCCATCCCTAGGCTTGACGGAGGTTGATGTGGCAACTGACGACGTTAATAGTGATACAGAGTGGACGCGATTTCCATTTTAAAACACGATCCTTCACGATTCCATAGAAGAAAGAATACCATTTTCCCCAAATCAAACTTGCAGGAACCTTAATTATATCTCCCCTAATTCAAAATCCCTGGAAATCGAAGTTCTTCCTCTACCTGAGGCAACGAAACTTCAACCCTAATTCTAAATTCGAGCCCTAGAATCGATTTCATTCAAAACTCTCCCCCAATTCGATTGTTCCGGAAGTCGCGATTACAGAACTTCGTCTCCCAAGCAACGCCAGACGCAGCTGATGGTTTTTGATCGTCGACCCTTGTTTGCTGCTGACGGTCGCATATGGCAGGATCCCTAAACCGCGCCTCTGATGGTTTGATTTAAAAAGTTGCACGTAGGAAGGAGAAGGTTACTGAGATGATGGAACACCCTTAGATTGTTTAGCTATATCGAAGTTGATGTACGTATAATCTGCATTAACTTTAATGTTAATTTTTACTAATGCCATCTTATTAATTTCTGTCTTATCACAAGATTGGGTAGAATCTGAAATAGAACCAGTTTAATACAATTGCAATGTATCGGTTAATGAAAAAGTAAGAAAAGGTTTAGTTACATTTCGTTGTCTGAGTTAATAAAATTTGGTCGGTATGCATAATTACAGTTCAGATTTTTTCCCATGATTCCACGGGGTAAAATGGTGGCCACAAGAGGGAAGGGATCATTGAGCCAAGACATGCGTGAAGAACATCAAATGCAATTCATGCCTACACCTACGGTTGCAAGAAGATCGCCAACAAGGATCTTAGAATCTGGACCAGTGGCTTCTTTGGTCAATGAGTTGCAACATGATAGAGGAAAGGGCATGGAATAGAGTAATAAAAGAATCTGGACTAGCAGCTACTTTTGTGGTGGAATGACATCTCATTTGCAATGACCTTTTTGTCAATGGATGTTATGTGTATATATTTTTTTTGTTGTGCGGTAAATGATTAGATTGAATCATCTTGTTTTGAGTTGGGATCTTGTTAACAGATTGAATCTGGACCAGCAGCTACTTTTTTTGTTTTATGCTTACATCAGTACAAATGTTTTTTTGCCTGGAGTCATGTTATATAGCTATATCATCCAACCATTTGTTATGTAATGCATAGCTGTGAAAGAAAAATTATATGGTGTTTTTAGTAAAAGAAAAATATATATTAAGTAGTTGACGGAGAGTTGATAGTGTTAGATGGTGAAGAATTGGAATAGGAAGTATCAGAACATTGATGATAAGAAGCCTAATGAGTAGCTGTAGGAAGGCTACTTTCGGTTGATATGGCTGATGGGAATAAGGAGAATGTTATGTTCTGTTGCTTGAAGGTAGTGGTAAGTGTCATCGGTAGGATATTGAGGTGGCTGTTGGTAAGTGTCATCAGTATGATATCAGACAACATTTGGAGGTTTGTTAGCCATGACTATGGCTCTGATACCATGTAAGAAAATGAAGGAGAAGAAGGAATGTAATGCACTCTTTGTAAATAAATAATAGAGCAAATATGATGAATTCCTTTTGGAATTGAATTGAATTAATTACAATCGAATTTTAACAAGAAGATGTTGTACAATAGAATCTGAAAATCGGTCTGCACCGTGCCTCCTGTGTATTGACCGTTTTATCCTCCAGAATCATGTTTTATCTGATGCCTTTCCATCAGTTGGTTGCTCTTGATCATGCATTATTCTCTACAACAATATTATAAGTCTTCAATCTCTCTCTATGTTCATTCTTCTTCTCGTTATAACTATCATGGCGATCTACATCCATGTCTTTCGTCTCAGTTGGCCACTTAGATTGCTTCTCTGGAGTAGCTGCAGCAGTCCCTGGTCATCTAATGATGCATTAACTAACTACCAAACAATTGAAAACACGAACTGGACCAAATGAACACCGGGCTCATTTGTTTGCAGAGTAAATATCTGAGAGAAATTAAGAATAGTATCCAACGTATTCATGATCCTACATTGAGATGAGAGGTCAGAAAACATATATTGCTCAACATTTAATTCATGCAGAAAAACTAAAATGATCAGAGTAAATGACAAAAACAGATTTAATTCAGTCTGGCTGAGGCGCATATTGTTTAAGCGTGAAGGCATGTCTTTCAAGGAGTTCCATATAAAGCCTAAATGCTACTGGATGATAATTAAATAAAATAAATTGTTCCTTCAGCATCCAACACTAAAGAAGAAATACATACAAACAGGACAACATAATCAGCGGAATGTATCACCAAATCTAATTACAGCATTCATTTAAAATATGTTAACAATGGGTAGCTAAGACATGTTTGGTGTTGTAAATAGAAAATAACAGCTCCTACAAAAGATAATATTGAATGCACGTTACTAGTATAGAAATCAATAACACAATGCCAAAGACTTGAGCAAAAACAATTCTAGATTTTCATTTCAAAGAAAGAATCAATCTCGTGCTTCTTGAAAGAAGGAAACAACTGTTACATGTCACAATAAAAACATAAACACATTGAAAAAATATCGAAATAACCACTGTTTCAAAAAGTACCTCACACCATGAACAGAATATTTGAGATCGGATTGCAATCAGAATTATCTATCCACTTCAAATAGCCAACAAATTCAATAACAGTAAAAAAAAAGGAGAGGCTGGCTGTCCATTACCACCATGACAGCCGGACTTTAAAACCGTGTTGACTTTCCATTAACAAGTTCATACTCATTCCAGTGCAAATTCAATAACAGTAAAAGAAAGATAATCTCAGAATTATCTAAACACTTCAAGTAGCCAACAAATCCAATTTCAAAAAAATTCAATAACAGTAAAGGAAAGATAATCTCAAAATTATAGGGCTCAGATTTAGGATTAGGGATGATGGAGTGATGGATTTCAATTTCAATATGAAGAATCGTGTTTCCTCAAACGACGAACTAGGCCTGCTTTTTCAATGAAATCGATTTTAGGGTTCATATTTAGGATTAGGGATGATGGAGGATCGTGTTTCAATGTGAAGGATCGTGATTTAAAATGGAAATCGCGTCCACCGTGTATCACTATTGACGCCGTCGGTTGCCACATCAACCTCCGTCAAGCCACGTCCGCCTGTTTCAAACGGTTGGGGTGCTGAGTGAGGGATGGAGTAGATTGTTTGCAAGTTCAGTGACTGTTTAGAAGCAAAATAAAATTTAGTGACTATAACGTGACGTTGTGCTAAGTTCAGTGACTAATGAAACGTTTTACTAATCCACTGCGACTACACTACTGCTTTCCAATGGTCTGCCACTTACAACCCCTTTTATCTCATAATACATTGTAGACAAGTGGACCCTACATGTTCTTTATTAAATAACCGACATGGTCCCATCGGGGCATTATCTCCAAGTTGTGTACCACGACACACATATGATATACACACACCATATTGCAAATCCCTTCAAATGCTACTTTATATGTAGATTAGCTATGTCCACTCGTGTGCATCGCATATTACATGCACTAAATGATAGCCCAAAAGTCCAAAAA